TTCCCAGCCCTGGCCCCAATGGGTGCAGTGCCGGTACCTGCTGCCTTTCCGGGGCTGGGAGACAGCTGGGGCTGGGCCCGGGGCTGGGGTGGGAGGGCAGCAGCTGTTTGTAGCCTCCCAGCTGCAGCCAGCCCCAGCTCTAGGTAGCTGCTGATAGCCACGGAGCCCGGGCCGCTAACATCCCAGAACCTGAGCCAGCTACAAACATCTGCTGCCTCTCTGCCCCAGCCCCGACCCCAGCTGCCTCCCAGCCCCAGACCTGGCCCCCCCGAGGCAGCACATATCAGCAGTGCTCCCTGCTGTGCTGCCTTCATCGCTTCTGCAAAGCAGCATTGGAACCCGGCACGGCAGGGGACATCAGGGGGCACAGAAAGCTGCCTGCTCCCAGCTCCCCACTGCCCTGCCACACTTTCCCTGCAGGCAGGGGCGCCGGCTGCACTGTGCCATGCCGTGCTGGGTTCCAACGCTGCTTTGCAGAAGTGGTGAGGGCAGCACAGCGGGGAGCATTGCCAGTATGTGCTACCTTCCTGGAGCCCGGAGCCGGGTCTGGAGCTGGGAGGCAACCAGGGCCAGGGTCGAGAGGCAGCAGATGTTTGCAGCTGGCCAAGGTTCTGGGTAGCTGCTAGGAGCCACAGAGGCTAGGGCAGGTGCGGGGGCAGGGGCACAAGCAGAACGTCCTGCCATGTACCCCCTGCCCTCGTTTTGTTTTTCTGGCATGCTGGCACTCCAGCATCTTCCAAAATAGGCATTGTGGGGGGTTTCGGCACTCCGGCCAAAAAACATTGCCTACCCCTGGCCTAGACTTTGAGCGATGGACCTAATTCACAGACACAAGTGACTGAGTGTTTGGCCGGTTCTTCACCAAAACAACTGAAGAATTTACATGAGTCCAAAGAGTCAGTTTGTAGCTTCCAGTTTGGGAGTCATTTGAATAAGGAACAATTTTTGGTCTAAATATTTACAATTTAAGATTAAAACATCAGTCATTTTTCAGATTTCTTGCATTCTTCAAACTTCAGCCCTCCTAATATACTAATAGGCATAGTTTACTAGAACACATCTGGTATTATATTGTAGCACACTTGTTATGGTCACCAGAAGGTTGTTTTGTTGTGAACGTTCAATTATAATACACAACCTTATAATCATCTTTAGTCAGTTTCCCCGCAATTTGTTCTCATTCACTCTCTCCAAATTAGCTCTATGTGCACCCCGCTGCATGAATGGTGGACTCTGTGTTACACCCGGTTTGTGCATCTGCCCACCTGGATTCTATGGCATCAACTGTGATAAAGGTAACTGTAGAATTGAAAGCTGTAAGTCACCTATTTAAAACTGCCTATTGCTACCGTTCTGTGCTGTGCTCAACTGTCCCTCATGTAATTTTCTTCTCAGTGGTGGGTAGAGGGTGTTGGAGTGTTAGGCAAATAATCAGCTTAAAATCATAATCTTAAAGATTGTTTAATACCTTCTGTAAAGAAACTTGAGAACTTTACCTGAGCCTGGAAGCTTTAATAGGACAGCAAGGGAGAGATAAGGGTACACAGGCATAATACTTATAGAAAAATCATTCATATTCCTAGGAAAGTTGGTTACAAAAGGTAAGAGAAGGCAAATGCAATAGCACTGTGTTTAACTATTTGTACCTATGCTATACACTTGGAAGCAGTTATACTGTAATCTTGACAGTATGTCACAGATTGCAGAGAGCATGATTATGTCTCCCTACATATCATTTATGGCAGTGATTCTCACTTGGGGTGCCACAGCACACTGTGGTAAGCTCCTTCTAAAGGTGCTGTGCAATATTAACACTGTTAGGTATGCAAACACCTACATATTATTTGCAAGATAAACTGAGAGATTTCAAATAGGAATACATATTATCAAAAGTATTCTGACCTGTTGTGGTTTGTCTAATGCTTTGCAACAGAAGAATTGCTTTATTATTTTTTCATAGTCAAGAAATGAGTGAAAGCTGAGAGCTCTCATTTTGAATGCCTTGAGTCTAAAGGAGTTGAGAACCGCTGATTTATGGTGTCTAACTCTTGTTGTTATATAGAAGGTCACACTTGTTTTATGTTTCCACAAATTATAGGACAAGAAGTAAAGGGCTTAAATTGCAATAAGGGAAATGTAGAAAGTTGTTCCTACTATCTAATGTAAATATGAAGGTTGTTAAGCACGAAGCACATTGTCTGGAAGTTGTGGAATCTCTATCACTGGAAGTACAGTCCTGGGTTTTTTGCGAGTACGTGGTTTTATATGTAGACCACAAAGAAATACTCCAGATATTCTGACTGGCATCAAACTGTTAGATTCATGTGAACCCCAGATGCTCAAGCACAAGCTTGATCTAATTTGGAGTATGCAATGAAATGGGTTGGAGAGTAACTGTGTGTGTGCATGTGTCTATCAGCCATTACAGGTCTGTTAGTGCATTTTACCATTCCCTTATAACCTACATGGAAATATATTAATACAGCTATTTAAACATTACTTTACATAATTTTTAGCCAGGCAATGCAAGGTGGTAGAGGTAAAGGTCAAAATAATTCACATCCAAAATTAATTTTAATTTTATTTTGCTTTATTTCCTTTAGCTAACTGCACAACAACCTGTTTCAATGGAGGGACCTGTTTCTATCTAGGAAAATGCATTTGTCCTTCTGGATTTGAGGGAGACCATTGTGAAATTAGTGAGTCTCCACATTACATTGTTTCACGTAACTTAAACAAAGGGTGTTCTATTTACAGTGCCTGAAAGATCAAGTGACACATGTCTGTGCTAGCTTACAGCTGAGGTTATCAAGTAGCAGGCTGGGGCCCTCAGAGGTCAATTCAGAATTGTGGGCAGGTTCTTCCCCATTGTTTCTAACTGATGAGTTTTTAATCATTGTTTGGTCATTAAGGTACATTCTTGATTTTTTTTTCATTTTCTTCTTTTTCTAAGTACTATATGGGCACAGCAGTAGCCTGCGCACTCATGCACCACTGTCTGGTCATACCAGTATAGCAAGTCTACATGGAGTGGATATTTTCAAAATACATAGCAATTCATACCTACACACGTGAGACTGGAACTGAGGCCATAAATTCTGAAAGGGATATATGGAGATATCCATTACTGTTGGAGGAGTTCAAGCAAAAAGGGCAGAGGACTGTTTAGGCTAAGATCTTCAGCTTGCAGTATTAAGTTGCATTTATGTGGCACGTTGAACATTCTTGTGCTCAACATCAAAAGGCTTACTATTTTCAGCAGCTTAGCATCAAAACCATTCAGAATATTTTAGTCCACAGTCAATCAAACTGTTCTACATAAAGCTGGGGATGGAGGCGTGGCCAGCGCTGCACAAAACTGGGAGGTCAGCTGTCAGGCATTTGATCTCTCTAAAAAAGGCTCTCTCACAACTCTGTTGAATTAATTTAGTCGTCCCCATTCCTAGAAAGAGTGCCAGTGTTTTGGTTTGGAAAATGTACACACGCATTATACTTTTTGCGCTGTATGTCCACTAACACATTTCAGTGCTGAATATCCCTCTTCTTACTCATGTAAGCAAGCTCAGCAGTTTCAATGGGACTATCCATACGAGCAAGGTGAGGGGTTTGGTTTTGTATATGTATGATTTTTTTCTTAGCTTGCCTCACATCCATATAGACATGCACGTCATGAAATAAATGCACCTCTTGGTACATGAAATTTAACCCCCCAAATCCCAGACGACACAGCCAAATAAAGTGCAACAGGCAGTTCAACAAACACTTATCAGAAGATAAGTGAATAACTACGCAAATAACAAAAAGGATCAACATGTGGCACAATATATCAATTCTCGACCATATTGATAGGCAGGCACAGTCTGGACAACATTTTGTACTGTTTTATGCTTTACAGATTGCTAGTTCTGAAACAGCTGCAAAATCAGCAACAGCAGCAAGGTTGTATTGTTGTTATGTAAATAAATACGTGTTCTTCCAGCACAGTGATGGTACAAGTATCTGTTCCTTACAAGCTAATTATTTTTTAAAAAATTCAGACTTAGTCTAAGGTTTAACTCCAAGGATTTTCATGGTATTTGCACCTGTTGCCATCAAGTCTGAATCCAACACTGATAATCTAATTTCTTCCCTCATTCCAGACAAATCACATAAGAAGTTCCATAATGTCCAATGAAAATGGTCAGTTTGACCCAGAGCTTGAGGAATTTGTACCTTTGTCAGCAGCTTTTTTTTTTTAAATTATAAAATCATATAGTAGAAAACATAAAAGGCTATTTCACTTAATCAGCCACTAACAGGGTATAAGAATCTTTGCATTTCTAAAACCTCCAACTATTGAAAGCCAAATCTCTGATCTGATATCCTAAAATGATTCATCCTTGTAAAAACACAGCATTCAGTTACCTAGTAATGGGTACACTCACAGTTCAATCAGTCTAAAATGCAACTGTCTTAAACAGGACACCCCTGAGTCATGCCTCCTTTTTTGTTTTAAAATTGTATCTTGCCACATGTTCATTCCTCAGGCTGGGACCATATTCACATTTTTTCCTTAACCTTTTGCTGTTCTGCCAGTAATGCATTTTTGCCAGGGGTAGCAGCAGCTCTAATACACCCTGACCTCTGGGCCAGTACAGACATTACATTTTTACTGGTGTAAGCGATCATAAACTGGTCTATACCCATAACAGAACAGAAGTTCAGCGCACACAGACTGGTTTAAAAATGGCAGAACCCAGTTTAAGATTTGCCCTCCCCTCAACTGGCCAGAGGGCGGTGCTCCATTCGCTACCGATCTAAACTATGCTGCTTACAGAAGACCACATAACTTAGATTGAGATTCTGCCTCGGGCTTTTTGAATGTCTGTTCAACTGGCCAGAGGGCGGTGCTCCATTCGCTACCGATCTAAACTATGCTGCTTACAGAAGACCACATAACTTAGATTGAGATTCTGCCTCGGGCTTTTTGAATGTCTGTACCTAGCCCTGGATTTTAACCAGTGTGTCAGCTAATTTGATTCAGGGCTTATGTAGTCTTCTCCTTCAAAGACTTTGGCATACGTGTTTATTCACATGAGTAAACATGAAGGCTAGGTACAGACATTCAAAAAGCTTGAGGAAGTATCTAAGTTATGCAGTTTTCTGTAAGCATCTTAGTTTAGATTAGCAGTGAAAAGACACGCATTTGCCCGGGGGGGGGGGGGACCAGGTTACATCCTTCTTACATTTTTAAACCAGCCTATATGTGCCGAACTTCTGTTCTGTTACAGGTATAGACCAGTTTCCAATCACTTACACCAGTAAAAGTGTAATGTCTGTACCTGGCTGAAGTGACTTAAAATAAAATCCAAGCAGTAAATCAATTCCAGGAAAAAAGGACCAAAATATATTAGGACTTAAGCTGGGAATACATGGAATGCTGCCCATCTGCCTGAACCGTACCAGCAGGAGCAGTGGGAGACTAAGGAAAAAATGCTAGTCAAGGCTTATAAACATCAGAAGAAAAAAAACCCTCATTCTGTTTTCTTAGATCCAGAGCCAGCTACATTCAGTCATGGAGGTCTTGGAATAAGCAGGGGGAGAAAAGCTTTGCAATAGGCAGAAAGCCATCTTTAGAGAATTGCAAAGATATTTTTTTTATATATTGTTTAAAGATTTTGAGTGCTCCTCTAATAGCCAAGTAACTCTCTAAGACTCCTGGGAAATTTACTAACCTTAATTCACAATACTAACAAGCAGTTGCTAAGCCTTCCAGGTTTCTTCTTACTGTAGTTATATTTTGCCTCTAATTAGCGTTTCAGTTTGAGCCTGGAGTATAGTATTTTTTTATTATTATTTCCTCTCCATCTTTCACCAATTGTTCTGTCACTTTTTCCATTTCCCTCTCTTAGATTCTGTTCCACCAACAGATCTGTGGATAGCATTTAGCTTTTGCTCTGTTCCATAAAAATATTTTAGCCCACAGTTAATCGAACAGGGCTGGGGCCAAATGCATTCTTGGTGTAACCTTAGTACATTCTAAAAGATCACAACATTTTTCTTACATTCTCCACATTTCAAACTGAAAATGAGGATAGATAGCCTCCAGATTTCCTGAGCAATTTACCCTTCAGCCAGTAGTTGCTTTAAGTGAAAATGTTTGTAAATCAGAATGACTAAAAGTGTTAATTTTCCCTGCACTTCTGCAGAGAAACTTTACTGATGTGGCAACTTTCGTCAGCAGGACTGTTTATAGACTAGTAATGAAGTTTGGTTCTGGGCTGCTACAATCTATATATTAGAGAAAAATGTTCCATTTGTATTTGACAACATACACATGCATCTCAGTAGTTTGGGGTTTTGACAGCTGGGGAGGGGGTTTTAGCATCTAGAGGGTCACTTTGTAATGATTAAATTAGCCCTTTAACTGGGTATTATTGCTACAGTAAATCAGCAGAGAAATAGTTAACAGGGTTGATATTTTATGTGTAAGTGTAGCACACAGAGTAACTCCCAAAAAATGAAATGAGGCAGTTCACCGTTCTCTGTTCCTGTTTCAGGCTGTCTGCAAACTCTGCCAAATATTAATACTAGAATGGACAGGAAACTATTTTATCATCCCAAACAAACGTTTGAAAAATCCCATTTTACCCCAGGACCTTTCAAGCTTTCATTGATAAAATGTGAGAATAAGAAACCAAAAACTTCTGGGGTGCAGCACTCACTTGGGATACAGATGACCTGAGTCAAATCCCCAATATGGAGCATGCATGTGAATCTGACTCTCCCCCAAAGTGGGCATGTGCCCCAGCTACTGGGTATTCATCCAGGCTATATGCATATTCCCACAAGAAGCTTTGCTTTATGCAATTTACTGTTTTCCAAAAAGAAAAAAAAAACTGTTTCATTGAAAAATTCTCAACCAGCTCTTAAATTAACATTGATTATATTCTGGTCTCCTTTCCAAGCTTTTCTTCACTACTGTGAGACCGAGAAACTTTTTTAAAGTGAAAATTGAGTTTGTGGAGCAGTGTGGAATGCATCTTGTAGCAAATTCTACAAAACCATGGTATCCCTGGGCTCAGGTTGTAGCATGACAGTTCAGACAGCTTGTTTCTGTCCCACACTGAACATTTGTTCGGTTTTTGAGGAGCTCTGTTGTTTAAAATATCCCTCATATCCTTCTTTTTTTTCCAAGTATACCTGGGTGAGAGGGCTGGGTGCTGCTCAGATGCCTGCAGTCCATATCAATACTCCCTGTTATTAACTGCAGAAAGCTGGTCTCTCTCCTAGGCAGGTATGGGGAAGGGGACAGTTCTGAGAGATGGCAGACTGTATTTCCACAATCCCAGTGGTATAAGTGCACCCAAAACCTGTATAGAAATGCAGCCCTTGGCCATGCTCATTTCTGGCCTCAGTTTCATGCTACCTACGTGCTCACATGAATCTTTGAAAAAGCAGAGCTTATCTGTGCCTAGAAGATTTCACCTCCACCAAATCCATACTGTGCAAAAAAGATTCTGGATCAACATGGTCCACCAAGTTTTTCACAAACAATGTTTAAAACAGTGACCTTCCTCTCTCCCTCTGTAATTATTTTTGAACAAAAATGGAATATTAAGTTAATTGTTTTCACACTTCCTATTCTAGGCAAATGTCATCAGCCATGTCGAAATGGAGGCAAATGTACTGGTAAAAATAAATGCAAGTGCTCCAAAGGTTACCAAGGAGATCTTTGTTCCAAGCGTAAGTTCTCAACCCACTCCATCAATCCTTATAAGTTCAATAAGATAGCAACACAGTATATAGTTTAGTAATATCAGCATGTTGCATGCTGCCAGGTTTGTTCAAGTTAATTTACTTCCTGGACATGCTTCATACATTACAGGTAAAGGAGCAGTGCAACAAAAACTTATTTTTAAAACCTTTCAATATTATGAGCTTCTTTAAAGCAATAACACATCAGTATAATATCATCAAGAATGTGGTACAAGATAATTAAACTTCAGGACCTTGTAATATTACAATCTTACTGGAAATCTGCCTTTTATGAACGTAACTAATCTCTTCTTGCTTATTCTGGTATAAATCCATTGATTTCAAGCATTTCACTCCTGATTTGCACTAGAATGAGAGAGAGCTGGATCAGGTCTTTTAGTTCAGTATTAGTACAAATCATTTTCAGAACTCTGTACACAGTCAATTTACAATTACAGATTCACAGCTAAAGCTTTGGCCTATGCCAAAACTAGCATATTCAAAAGACTAACTGGAAAAGAATTGGGTAACTGTCTCTGAATGGAATATCAAGAAAGTGATAAATGTATGCTCCCCCTTGATTGCAGCGGTCTGTGAACCTGGCTGTGGATTGTATGGAACCTGTGTTGAACCTAATAAATGCCAGTGCAAAGAAGGCTGGCATGGAAGGCACTGCAACAAGAGTAAGTGAGAATACATACTTGGCTTTCTCACAAGTTTTCAGCTGTGAGTAAATGACTAGTTCAAAACCACAGGATAATCGCTAATGAAAACAGTCCCTTCAGCTAATATGCCTTTCATTAAAAAAAAAGGCACAAGAATAATTTATTATCCCAAATGTCTTCAGCACATGCTGTATTAATCTGCATAATAATAACAACAATGAATAAAACAGAAATCTACTCCATTTACATTAATCTCCTATTAGGAATTCTAAAAATGGATACTAGCACAATTTCTGAATGACCTGGCTTATATTCTGCCCATAAGGTAGAATTGCTTCAGAGCCCTCCAAGGTTCCCATTGACTTCAATGGACTTTGGATCAGGAAATTAGAATATTGGAGATATATTTACAAAAAACAACCTATATGGGTTTCTAGAGATGATTGACAGTTTGGAAAAAGAAAGGAAATTTTGAAATGGCAGAAATATTTTGAAGAGCATTTATGTAAAATTCCACCCTGCCCAAGTGTCAACAGCTGTAAAGTATGTCAAATATTTTAAAAATATTTGGTGAGTGAAATAATTTATTTTTTGACCATTTCTACAGGATTCAAAAATATGTTGTCTTAAAACAACATCAAATTTCTTTAAATGAATATTTTAATTGTATCCTGCTTTCTGAGCCATGTGATGCCTAATGTTGATTTTTAAAAGGGTTTAGGTATTGACTGGAGAGTCTGTTCAATTGTGGGCCATTTGTATGTTGTTGCAAGCCACTCTGAGCCTTTCTGGATAGGGCAGGATATAAATCTAAATAATTAATAAATAAATAAATAAGATCAGGTTAGACAGACACTTGACTGCAGTGGTTTAGTCAGATCCTGCCTTGAGCATGGGGATGGAGTAAATGAACATATGAGGTCCCTTCCAGCCCCACTTTCTTATGAGCCTGTGTGTAGACACATGCTGATTTGATGGTGTTAAACTAGTGGTGAATTTTTACTTGAATTCTCCAAAATTTGTCATTAATAATGAACAATTATAAAAACAAGATATATATATATGGCTGCATGCATCCAAGTGATAAATTCAAAGTCAGCTTTACATATTAGCAAACATTAATAACAAATTATTAAGAGAGATTTCTGACATGGGTGGATCTAGAATTTTGAAAAGGGGGAGACAGATGGTAGGGTGCATCACTGCATATAACACAACACATTTTTTTTTTTAGGTAAAAAGAAACTAGAACGGGGGTCAGCAACCCCCAGCACATGTGCCAGAGTGCGACTTAAGAAGCCATTTTACTTCGTAAATGCCACAGCCAGCCCAGGCTCTTGGCAAGCCCCTACCACTGGCCACAGAGCCTGGGCTGCTCACAATAGGCAGTGGAGAAGCTGCAAGCAGTTGCTTCAGGGTCTGTGGCGCCTTGGCTCAGCACGGTGCCGGCAGCGGGTGCACATGTACCTTGGGGCTCATGGTGGGGAAAGGACCAGGGATGCACTGCCACAATAAGGATCGGGCCCATCATGGCTTCCCCCCCATTCACCCCTGGCATGCCAACATCTTACAAGTCGAGATTTCGGGAGGTTTTGGCACTCTGCCCAAAAATGTCACTGACCCCTGAACTAGAAACTTTGCTAATATATTAGGGGCCTATGGCGATATTATTCAGTTTATGATTGAAGCAAAAGCAAATGTAAGTTATTGAAATGTGCATTAATTTGCTATATCATACATTTGCTATTATGTATTAAACCCCCCAGCAAACTAGTCACACAAATAATCAATCAAAGAGGCTGTTTCTTTAGTCCTATTGTCATTAGAATTATGTGTACATCTCTTTCAGATTCATAAAACACAATCAAGCCTCCTTGAGCATCTTAACAGTGCAGCCAGTGCTTCACTGAAAGTTATTTCCTCATCTCAATTAATGTTTAGCTAGAGTTAAAAACAGTCTGCAGGACTGTGAAATAGGAGCTACGTTACCAGTAGGGCTGTGTGAAGCTTCGGTTGCTGATTCGATTCAGAGGAGATTTGCCCCGATTTGGCAGCTGAATCTCCAAATCCGAATTGAATCAGGAGACCCGTTAATCTCTCTGAATCTAATTGGAAGCCTCTTATTCAACTCAGAGAGATTCGACAATTCAGCCATAGACACAGCTTTATATGTTTTTCTATGTACCTCGAGGTACCAGGCGCAGCTCATGAATGCTGAGATGGTAGGGCAGATGAAGCATCCCACGGGAGCGTAGCAGGGTCCCGTGTGCCTGGCAGTGGACCTAGAAGTGGATTAGAAGTACTTCCGGTACACTTCCAGGTCTGCTGCAGAGTGTGCAGGGGACTCCCCTGCCCCCCAGCTTGGCAACTGGTGCCTCCTGAGTCTTGGGGGGCACCCAAGGTTCCCCCATGGCCAATTGCCAAGCCGGGGAGATGCCGGGGGGGGGGGGAGAAGTCCCCCGCGTGCTCAGCAGCAGACCTGGAAGTGGACTGGAAGTACATCTAGTCCACTTCCGGATCTGCCGCTGAGCACTCAGGGGACTGCCCTGTGCTCCCATGGGACGCTCCATCTGCCCCACCATCTCAGCATTCACGAGCCGTGCCCGGTACCTTGAGGTATGTAGAAAAAACATATAAAGCTGTGTCTGTGGCTGAATCGCTGATTCTCTGAATCAGAATCAAATCTTCAGATTTAGCCGAATTGGGACAGTGATGTGAATCAGCAAATCTAATTACTGTCCCCCAAATCGGGCCAAATCCAAATGCAAATCGGATACTGCCCACTTTGCACACCCCTAATTACCAGTAACAGCAAACAGACAGCAGAAATGAGAAGAAAGAATAGCTCCATTAGTGGAGCATTAGTTGACACCACTGATTCATTACCCATACATCATGTTAAAATGTATAAAAATAACTATGGATGTTTTTTATAAAAGCACTAAAATAGTCTAACAGGAATAGGTTATACTGTAAAACTAAGATTCTGGAATCTGTTCTGTAGTTGGCTAGTATATTTGTTTGCCTATATAGTCTCCTGTTAAAAAATGGCATAAGTCCATTAGTAAATGTACTAGATGCCTTATAGGCTTAAAAAAATGTGTATGGAAATCCATACCAGGTTTGATGCCATCTTTCAGAAACACATCCGTAAAGTTCAACCAGCAGCTAGCAAGTGAACTTTTTTTTTAGTGTGAATAAATATACATGCTGCTGCCCCAAAAGAAGCAATTAACCGTGCAAGTAAAATAAACTCCATAGTATGAAAGCTCTACCACCAGGATGCTGTACTTGAACACTAGTGTTAGCTCCAAGGCTTTGAAACCAACATTAATGAACGTGTCGATTTAAAGAATGGACATTGTCCTGCAGTTTCTATGGAGGCAAAACTCTCATTGCATGGAGAGTTTTGCCAGCATAGAAACAACAAAAAAGGGCCCAGTATTAAGGGCCCAAGTAGAACTAAACTGGAGTGGAGGACACTTTGTACTGGTCTGCATTTCACCTTCTACAAATAAAACCAAATCTCTCCCAGTCCAGAAAAGGGGCTCACATTTAATCTCAAAGAAAGGCAAGCTATCATTACTTATTGGTGATATCAGTGGCCTTGAAAAGTTATAAAAATACAAAGTTAAAATAAAAAACGCGGAAAAGGAACATGTTTGGTTTGAGGGAATGGCTTCTTAATAAAGCAGTCTCCTGAAGGAAAATTTGTAAAATAGAACACTAACTTAAGATTCGGATTTTCGAAGTCTTTTCCCCATTTGTAATCACATTTGTAAATAAAACAAGAAAGAGTTGCAACATTAATACTTTTAATTCTAATTTTGTTTTCAACAACAAAGCTGCTGTGTCAGACAGGACTTATTTATTCTCTAGGTGTTTGTTGTTGCTATTCTATTTCTTGGTATTATAAACAAAAAAATACTTACATTATTAACACTGACTCTCCACAGGTTGAAACTTATGGCCAATAACTGAACCAATAATTTGGCTTAAAGCTGGTCTCTAATGGCGGTATATTACTCTCCATCCATCAAACATGAGTGAGACATGTGTGAAACCAGTTCTGTATTCTAGTCTTAAGTATGGAAATAGTGCAGTGATCATGGGATAAGGTCACCCTGCTCTAAAAGCCACAGAGTGCATCTTTTCATGATTAACTTCTGTCTCCTGGCACCTCATTCTTTCATGTGGGGACTTGTGGGATGTGCATTAAAACCCTTATGTTCAAATGGGGAAAACGGTTTCCATTTGAAATATTAACAATGTACCAGCAGCCAGCTTTTGTAGTTTTCACTTGAACTGGATAATTTTTCAGGGTATGGAGCCAGCATTATGACTGCCCTGAGGCCAACAGGCATGAAGCAGAGACAGCACACACCTTCACCTAAAAAGGCTGAAGAGAGGCTTGTTCCACCCGAATCCAATTATATCTGGTGAACTCAGACATCTGAAACGTTTTATGTTACACAAAGTTCATAGCCTTCATTAACCTTTCATGTGTTGAATGTTAAAATGCTGTTCATTACAGTTAAGATTACTGGCCTGAATTTTATTAGCTTCATTATAAACCACTGAGCTGATATTTACTATTCCTTTTAAGTTTTATAAATACGTCTTTAGCACGATTATATAGGCTTCTTGTTTCAGTGCTTTGGATGGTGTTTGTACTATATTTCAGTTACGTTTTAAACTTGTCTTCTTAATTATGTAGCTGCAAATATTTCCCAAATTTAAACAGCATCCCAGCAGAGAACTGTATAGATGCTAACCTGCATCAGTCCAGTGACTACAGAGGTAGTTAACCTAAGCATAAGTCAGGGTTATTTTTACTATTGTGCATTTAGACATTTTTATCTTAAAAAAGAATATAAAAAAAATCTTAATTTAAAAAGAATGCATAACTCATTTCAATAATATTTTTGGTCTTTACAATTTTGCAGAGTGCTCTGTATTAAAAATACATTACAGTACTGCCATTCAAACAATATAATATATTGTAAACAAAGTAGATCTATAATGTATGGACTTTTTTGCATTGGCTTGAAGCAACATAATATATTGTAAACACAACAGCTCTTTTGTAATAAACCTTTTATACTGATTGTTACTGATAAAATAAAGATGCTGCTTTAGTTTTTCGAGTACTGATGGTTGTGGTATATTATAATTTCACCAGGAATGTGCTGCATCAATGTCCTCCTTAGACCATTAGGATCCCTTCTAAATGGCAAGGAAGGGTTGGCATGATCCTCCTGCTTCCCTCTCCTTGGCGAGTCATTCTCAAAAGATCATCCAACCTAACCCTGGGGCTTAGAATAAGACTTCCAAAGTTTTTGGAAGGAGGTGGTAGAGACAAAGGCAAGTAATTCTGCAAAAATTGACTGGATCTCTCAACAGGATCTCAACCTTTTTCCATTGCTATGGAACAGAATTATATTCTAGAGAGACTATCAATATACTCCATAGATCCTTTTCAGGAACTAAATATAAACAGGTCTTAAAAATTGAACTTAAGACTAGTATTCTTGGCATATGTTTTCCTCCTAGTTTCAACATTATGGGGAAGTGTTTGTGTTCCAAACAGACAACAAATTAACAGATACCTTTTTTTTCATCTCTCCTTTTGCATTACACCCACCTAGTTATACAGGTCAGTCCTGTAAGTCAGTGCTGTTACCAAATCTGCCCATTACTTTGGGGTGTGCTCATTTATTAGGGATAGTTTCTAGGGTCTTGGTGATTCTGTCAATGTGCTGTTTGTGTTACTATACGGAGCTGTATTTCTCCCTTCTGCAAGCCCTCACCCCCAGTGGATCTCTCTTGCAGGACTCAATCTCAATGGGACTGGGTTCCTTCAGTCACCAAATCAGTCATACACACAGACACACATAAATTAACGTGACACGCCTGACCTGGCCGGGCTGATCAGCATGGACAGGCTGACACCCTCATATGCCAAGAATCAGTTCATAAGAGCAACAATAAAATGCAGTCAGACACAAGCACACAGGTAAACAGAATCCCTCTGAATCCGGCTGGGTGTCCAGCTGACACCCTCATGGGCCAGCATTCAGTTCATAAGGGCACGTCTGAGTCAAACTGGGTCAATCAGCCTGTACAAGCTGATCCCCTTATGTGTTTCAAACTCAGCACGTCCCAATCTTTGGCCTCTTGATGAGCAGACCCCACAATAATTTGGGCTTCACAGGGATCTTTAGCATAGGTAAAAGAAGCGTTGCTGCAGAGCACGGGAAGAAAGAGAAGCAGAGAAGGAAAAATATACCCAATTACTACCAGTTTGACTATAAAAGTTATTTATTGCTAAGCATATGAAATATATAATAGCACTAGTAGTAATAGACATGCAAAAGAAAAACAAACACCAACAATGACAATACTACCCTGGTTTCACTAAGTATTTGGGGAAACTTAGCTCAAGCTTAACTGATACAGTTCAGGTTCAGAAGTTTATGCCTAGAAAGAAGACAGAGAACGCTGGGATCTCACCTAGTCCACGGTACTCAGGCTGCAAAGCTGACAGGCACAGTCCGTAGCACAATCCTTGAAGAGAGAGACGATCTGTCTCAAGAACGACAGGGAACGTCCCAAGAACGACAGGGGATGGTGTCAGCACAGGGGTTTTCTTCTTCTCCTTCTTTCCTCCTGCTTATACTTCTTTTCCTTCCTTTTCCTCTTCCTCTTCTCCCTCTTTTTCTAGCAGCACACACACTTACAGATTTTTATACCCTCAGTTCAGCTGCTTCGAAGCACCCTCAGTAGTGTAAATCATTGTCTTTTCTATTGACAAGGGGTTATCTGGTTTGGACCATCTCAGGAAACTGATTGATAATCAGGAAACACTTAAGATTAGGGAGTAACCCAAATACTTGGGAGCCAGCTTGAAATTCCTATGGGTGGCAGATATACTGATGGGATATCTCATGGTTTCTTCAGGAACAATAGATAGCTTGCAGCATCAGGATTTTGGATTTTTACTTGTTGTGCACAAGCCTCAGCTTAGCATGACTTTTCCAGATCTTACTATAGTCTTTTAACAGACTTAAAACAATTATTGGGGTGCTCATAACCTTTTGTGGAGAGGACTCCCACCAGTCGTCTCGGGAAAGATATGACAACACCTGGGATTAGGGCTCCAGCAGGCTGGATGCTGTGATGAACCCTTAACCATTGTTCAAATGTTGCCCATACCCCCTCTGACTCGGTCTCTTGCCTCAGCATTCCCTAACCCGGCAACCGAGTTTTAGTCAATCAAGTTTAAATAGGCCTCCCATAGTGGGACCGGGGAATGTACGGCCCGAGATGCCTATTAAACTTAGAGCTGTGTGTGTGTGTCTGGGGGGGAAAAGTCCTTAGTAAATCCAGATTAGAACTGGTCTGATAAATGCTGAGCTGGGTGTGTGTGAACATGGGTTGATTAACATTGGAAGCACAGATTCCCCATCATGCAGCGCTCTCCTGCTTCTCTGGTCCCAGAATTCACTGCAGTCTCTGCTTCAGGCTTTCTGTTTTCCATCTCTCATGTAAATGAGACCTAGGGCAGTTGATTCACTCGTCACCCTTATCTGGTGAGGGTCTTAGGTGCGTCTCTCACTGCATCTTAATCAGTTTCGTTTAGGTAGAGGAGGGGAGGGGGGTGAGTCCTTTGTGAGTCAGACAGACTGCATCCTGTACCAGGGTTCCCCAAGAATACAGAGCTGAGACGTAACAGTGCCCAACTTCCAGAACAACAGGACCTGAGTTGTATTTATTCTAAGACCCTGTGGCATCACTTTAGAAGATAAAGGGACCTCAATGTGAGAATTTGGTCCAGTGGAGGAGAAGTACAAACAAAGCTTTAACTTGCTGGTGTCATAGTTGGTGCTTCTACTCTGCTCAGCCAAAGGCCTTGGTGTGAGTTCTGGGTTTTAATTTGCTCCTTATCTTCCCTTGTATATGCTGTTTTTAGGAGGGAAAAGGCAAGTAAGTTGGATGATCCTAATGAGGTTTCTTTGCCTAGGAGATGATGTCCATGTGTTTTCCTGTGCCCTTACAGTGAGCAGAACATGGATGTTTCATCCTGTGATGTGCAATGTTCATAGTTTGTGATGTGACAGAGTTAGAAAGCACAACCCCAAGCTACATACATTATAAGAAGAAGAATCATATTCTGGAAGAAATGAGGCCAGTTCTGTACTTCAGTGACTGAAAAATAGGTCTGTAAACTAGATGCAATTTTGGAAACAGATAAAATGACTCAACAGAAGGGTTTGATTCACAATGGAAGAATGACAATTTCTGGGCATGACCCTGCACAGTTCTCATATATGCAACTCTTCCACAGGCTGAGCAAGCAGTTTTGTTTGGATCAGAGAAAGTGAGAATGCCTCCATAGCCTGGCAGCTAGAGTGTTTCCATTCCTG